GTGGATTTTACATTATGTGAATTGAACCTCACTAAAAAGTTAAAAAGAAATAACAATTTCTGTACCTTAAGTTAGTTGAAATCCAACCCTGAGCTCCATTCTGCCAGAACCTGTCCAAGAGTTCAGAGTTTTATACCTTCCTGCCACAAACCTCTCCGAGACTGGTTGCCCTTCTTATCATGGGGCCTGGGTGAGGGAAAGGAACGATATACAGAAAGAAAGAACTTAATCGCACCCTAAATTTGTCCCTGGGGTCCTCAGGAACAACTCCTGGGAAGCTAGGTTCTCACCTGAGTCTCATCCTTTGGAAATTAGGAAGGAAGCAGGGTCTCTGAGGTGACCTGCCCACACTGTGGGTGGCCCAGAACAGCTTATTCATCACCTCAGAGGCTGACTCACTGGGAAGTTGCAATGGACGTGATTTCCCCTTGAGGCCTGAGGAATATCCCCTGACTATTTCTGATGTGATCGTAACATTTTGGCCACGTATCTGGGTGGGGCCCTGACGTAACTGTCCAGGGAGAATGCGTCCAAGTCCAGTGCCAGGTTCTGGGGTTAGAATGGTGGATGGCCACTGCTCTTATAGAATTGAAAGTCCAGTAGAGGAAACAGGTAATTACATACCAGATCACCAATGCAAGCTTAAGGGAAACAGAGAAACTATGGGAGCTCCAGGGAGCAGGGGATATCTGCCAACCCAGCCTAGGGGTTAGGGAGGCCTTCTCTGAAAAACCAATCCGTTGCCATCAAGTTGACTTTGACTCATGGCGAATTCATGTGTGTTAGAGTAGAACCATAGGGTTTTCAATGGCTGATTTTTCAGAAGTAGATCACCGGGCCTTTCTTCTGAGGCACCTCTGGTGTACTCAAACCTCCAACCTTTTGGTTAGCAGCTGAGCACTTAACCATTTGCACCACCCAAGGAAAAAAAAAAGAAAGGTGGAGAATGTCTATATGTTTGAAAGTGGAGAATCGGGAGCAAGTGAATGGTCAGACTAAGAAAAAACTCTCATGATTTACTTTATACACTTTTGCATTGCATGACTCTTTAAAAATATTTTTATTGAGGTATGATTTACATACAGTGAAATGCACAGATTTTATTGTACACTTCGATGAGTTATGAAAAACACACACACCCGTGTAGCCCGTACTGTCAAGATATAGACTGTTTCCATCATCCCATAAAGTTCCCTCTTGCCCATTCCTGGTCAGTTCCCCTCACCCCTTACAGAGGCAACCACGCTCTTGGTTTATTTCACTTGGATTAGTTTTGCCTATTCTAGAACTTCGTGTAAATGGAATCAGGCAGTGTCTATCTTTTAGCGTTCAGTTTAATTCACACAAGTTCTTGAAATTCATCCACGTCGTTGGGTGTATCATTAGTTTGTTCCTTTTTATCCCTTGTATTGGTGAGTAGTAATCCATTGTATGGATAAACCCGATGTGTTTATCCATTCTCCTATTGATGGTTTGGCTTGTTTCCAGTTTGAAACTATTATGAATAAAACTACTGTGAATGTTTTTGTACAAGTCTTTTTGTTGACATGCTTTCATTTTTCTGGGGGCAAAGGAGTCCAACTACTGGATCAAGGGGATAGGAATTTGTTTAATTTTATGAAACTGCCAAACCAATTTTCAAAGTGGCTGTACCATTTTATGATTCTACCATTAATGTATGTAGAGGGTCAGCAAAAAAAGAGAAAGACCCTCAATGAGATGGATGGACACAGTGGCTACAACAATGGGCTCAAGCATAACAAAGTTTGTGAGGATGGTGCAGGACCAGGCAGTGTTTTGTTCTGATGTACCTAGAATTGCTTGCAATCGAAACTGACTCGATGGCACCTAACAACAACAATGATGGGCAAAACATTGAATGATGCAGGAAGCATCAAAAGCAGATGCAAGGAATACACAGAGTCACTGTACCAAAAAGAATTGGTCAACGTTTAACCATTTCAGGAGGTAGCATAAGATCAAGAACCGATGGTATTGAAGGAAGAAGTCCAAGCTGCACTGAAGGCATTGGTGAAAAACAAGGCTCCAGGAATTGATGGAATACCAGCTGAGATGTTTCAACAAATCGATGTAGCACTGCAGGTGCTCACTCATCTATGCCAAGAAATTTGGAAGACAGCTACAAAGGATTGGAAGAGATCCAGATTTGCGCCCATTCCAAGGAAGGGAGATCTAACAGAATTTGGAAATTATCGAACAATAACATTAATATGGCAGGCAAGTAAAATTTTGCTGAAGATCATTCAAAAGTGGCTGCAGCGGTATATCAACAGGGAATTGCCTGATATTCAAGGTAGATTCAGAGGAGGATGTGGCACAAGGGATATCACTGCTGATGTCAGATGGCTCTTGGCTGAAAGCAGAGAGTACCAGAAAGATGTTTACTTGTGTTTTATTGATTATGCAAAGGCATTCAACTGTGCGGATCATAAGAAATTATGGATAACATTGAGAAGGGGAATTCCAGAACACTTAATTGTGCTCATGCAGAGCCTCTACATAGACTTACAGGCAGATGTTCGAAAAGAGCAAGGGGATACTGCATGGTTTAAAATCAGGAAAGGTGAGCATCAGGGTTGCATCTTTTCACCATACTTATTCAATCTCTATGCTGAGCGAATAATCCAAGAAGCTGGACTATATGGAGAAGAATGTGGCATCAAGATTGGTGGAAGACTCATTAATAACCTGCAATATGCAGATGACACAAATTTGCTTGCTGAAAGTGAAGAGGACTTAAAACACTTACTGATGAAGATCAAAGACTACAGCGTTCAGCATGGATTACATCTCAATATAAAGAGAACAAAAATCCTCACAACTGGACCAATAAGCAACATCATGATAAATGGAGAAAAGATTGATGTTGTCAAGGATTTCATTTTACTTGGATCCGTAATCAATGCCCATGGAAGCAGCAGTCAGGAAATCGAACAACATATTGTGTTGGGCAAATCTGCTGCAAAAGGCCTCTTTAAAGTGTTAAAAAGCAAACATGTCACTTTAAAGACTAAGGTGCGCCTGACCCAAGCCATGATATTTTCAGTTGCCTTGTATGCATGCGAAAGCTGGACAACGAAAAAGGAAGACCAAAGAAGAATTGATACCTTTGAATTATGGTGTTGGCAAGTATATTGAATATACCATGGACTGCCAGAAGAATGAACTAATCTGTCTTGGAAGAAATACAGCCAGAGTGCTGCTTGGAAGCGAGGTGGTGAGACTTCATCTTGTGTACTTTGGACCTGTTATCAGGAGGGACCAGTCCCTGGAGAAGGACATCATGCTTGGTAAAGTAGAGGGTCATCGAAAAAGAGGAAGACCCTCGATGAGATGGATTGACACAGTGACTGCAACAATGGACTCAAGCATAGCAACAATTGTAAGGATGGCGCAGGACCAGGTGGTGTTCTGTTCTCTTGTACATAGGGTTGGTATGAGTTGGAACTGACTCAGTGGCACCTAACAACAATTGATATGTTGGAGCTTAAGTCTGTTCTTCTAGTTTGTTTTCTGTTTTTTTTCACTCTGTTGTTTTTGTTTGTTTGTTTCTGATTTCTTTTTCCAAATTTTCAAGTTTTCAAACATTTATTTCTTTGAGTATTTTTTCAGTCCTGCCCTCTTTCTCCTCTGCCACTGGGACTCCAATCACAGAAATGTTAAATCTTTTATTATAGTCCCACATGTCCCTGAGGCTCTTTTCATTTTTTTCCTGCTTGTTTTCTCTCTGTTGTTCAGATTGATGATGTTATTGTTCTATATTCAAATTCATTGATTTTTTCCCTCTGTCCCCTCTGTTATGATGTTGAGCCCATCCAGTAAGTTTTTAATTTCAGTTACTGTATTTTTCAGTCCTAAAATTTCCATTTGGCTCTTCTTTATATCTTCTATTTTTTTTGCTGAGATTTTGTTTGTTGAGACTTTTTTTTTTTCATTTGTTTCAAGAGAGTTTATCATTGCTCGTTGAAACATTTATAATGATGGCTACTTTACAATCTTTGGTAATTTTATCATCTTTGTCATCTTGGTGTTGGCATCTATTGATTGTCCTTTTTTTTTCAATTTGAGATCTGCCTTTTCTTGGCATGAGAAATTATTTTCGACTAAAACCTGGACATTTTAGGTATTATGAGGATTGTGAGGCTCTGGATTTATTTAAACCTTCTGTTTTATCTGGCTTTCTCTGATACCACTTTGACAGGGGAAGTGGGGGCACCACCTCATTACTGCCTGGTAGGGGAAGAATCCAGATTTCACACTTATCCCCCACTGACCTTGGGGAGTGCCCCTCAGTACTGTTGGGTAGGGTGGGAGTTTCAGGTTCCCACTAAGCCTCCACTGATACCTCCCTGGCTAGAAGGGGTAAGAGTGCTTCATTACTGCTCCTGTGACACCAGAGGGGTGATGTGACTCATTACTGCTGGGCAGTGGGGAAAGTCCTGACCCTTTGTTAGGCCCCCTCTAACGCCACCCCTGTAGGGTAGGAGGTGTCCCTTTTTACTGTCTGGTAGGGGAAGAAGCCCATCCAGGCTCCTCAGTTGTCTCCATTGACACTCATTACTGCCAGTGGGGATGAAAGGTACCACCTATGACAGGGGAGTTGGGGCACCTCATTATAGCCCGGCCAGAGTGGAAATCTAGGATCACCACCTAGCCTTTGCTGGTGGGACTGGGGCCACAGTTTTTTTCTGTGTTGTTTGGCTGGTGTAGAGCAATTATTGTCCAAAAGTTTTCTGTCTTGCTAAGTTGACCCTTTTCTGGTCCTTTGGCTAGATAGAGCAGACTTCTGTTGGAGCTTTTTTTGTTTGCACCCATTAGCTGGCTTTTCAGTGTCAAGTCTGGGATATATGAATGAAGTTTGTCACAATCACAATCTTTTGTCCACATCCTGAGAAACCAGAAAGCTGTCAAAATATGTGTGTTGGGCCTTTTTAAAGTTTCTACCTTTACATTCATTTGCTGCTTTTTTACTCTGACAGCAATTTGCTAGCAAACAAGACAGGCATTACATTGGAATGCGGCAGTCTCCAGCACCAGCTGCTCATGGTTTAGCTTGGGGGCCCGTGGAATTTGGTTGCTGCCTGGAGTTTACACCTCGGTAAGTTCATATAAAATTATCCCATCTTAGCAGTAACTTCAGTTTGCTCATTTCTAGCTCCGTTCTAGCTTCCTTTACATGCACATTGTTGTTATGGTTGTTAGCTGACATTGAGTTAGCCCCCAGCCCCATGCACAACAGAACAAAGTGCTGCCTGGTCCTGTGCCCTCCCCATGATCGGTTACGGACCGAACCATTGTGATCCATAGGATTTTCATGGGCTGATTTTCAAAAGTAGATCACCAGGCCTTTCTTCCTCGTCTGTCTTAGTCTTGAATCGCCACTAGAACCTGTTCGGCATCATAGCAACATGCAAGCCTCCACTGACAGATGGGTGGTGACTGCACGTGAGGTCCATTGGGCCAAAGTGGTTCCCTGCGTGAAAGGCGAGAATTCTACCACTGAACCACCAGTGCCTCAGTTTTGTGCAGATAGAAGCTAAATTGTCTAGGGCATGCCCAGAGAAGACATATATCACTGGGCAGCTGAGATAACTCGCTGTGCCTCAATTTCCTTATCTATAAAATGGGAATAAAAATGCCTACCTCACATGAATTCAATGAGCTAATTCATATAAAACGCTTAGAAAAGTGACTGACGCATAATAAGCCCTCACTTAATATTGTTGTTGTTAGGTGCCGTCGAGTCAGTTCTGACACATGGCGACCCTGTACAACAGAAAAAACACTGCCCGGTTTTGTGACATCCTCACAATTGTTGTTATGCTTGAGCCCGTTCAACCTGAGGGGCTCTTCTTCCGGCACTATATCAGACAATGTTCCGCTGCTATTCATAAGGTTTTCACTGGCTAATTCTTTTCAGAAGTAGACAGCCATGTCCTTCTTCCTAGTCTGTCTTAGTCTGGAAGCTCAGCTGAAACCTGTCCGCCATGGGTGACCCTGCTGGCACTTGAATACCAGTGGCATAGCTTCCAGCATCACAGCAATACGCAAGCCAACGCATTAGACAAACTAACAGATGCGTGGGGGCACTTCATATTAGCTACTATTATTGTAAATATTATATGCAAAGATAATATCATACATCCTATTTTCTTTTCAATACTCTTCCAGATGATTCACTGGATAGAGGGGAGCTAGACAGACCTGAGTTCAAATTCTGCTCGTGCTACTGACGAGTTGTATTACCTTGAGCAAGTCATTTAGCTACTAGGAGCTGCACTTTCCTCATCTTTGTGTGTTCAGAGTTTTATAGGGTTGTTCAGAGGAAATGAGAGAATGGGTTTCAAGCCTTAAGCAGAGGATCTGGTGTGGAGTGCCATATACCATATACCATATCTGGTGCTGTATACATGAGTCTCCTACTCCTTCCGCTGTTTCTCACCCTGTTTCTTCTTGGTCTTAACTACAACTCCAGTCTTTCTGAGCACTCTGTACTGTTTCCTGTGTCCTTTCTTGGTAAAGAAGAGCTTGAACAAAGTTGGGAAGTGGGCAGAAGGCTTGTCTATGCTTCCTTAGTGGTTCTCCCTTTTTGCACACTTCTACTCCGCCCTCCTCCCTCTCCCTCCCCCTGTACCCACCTACCTTTTCACATTTCCTCTCACTCCTGGCCCTGGAGTCCTTCTGCTGCCCACTGTCCATTACTGCTAGCATAATATACTCATTAGGTAGCTAAATGTCCCTCTGAAAATCTTACATCTTGAAATGTAAGCTAGGATAGCGGAAGTGAGCAACCTTAGCCCATGGAGAAAGAATCTCTGAAGATGGAAATTCAGGCAATTTTTGTGCAAGACATCTTCCTTGGAAGTCTCAAATTATAACACAGAGGTGGAACAGCATACTCAGCCCTTTAGGTGCCTAGAAAACAGTAGAAATGATTTCCTATGAACATAGTGTAGGAAGAGATGTTGGTTTTGGGAATCAGGCCAACTTTGGATGGGCTTCTGGCTCAGGCCATAAGAATTCTGATCACAGGAACTTGGGCAAATAAATGGCTTACCCTCCATGAACTGCAGGAATTGGGGCTAACCATGATTATGTCGTGGGGTGATTAAGATCATTAAACTAGGTAATCAAGTGAAGATGCCCAGAATAGTGTCCAACGTAGAACACTCAATAACTGCCTCCATCCCTCTTTTCCTCCTTTCTTCTTTCCTCCCTCCCTTCGTTCGTTCATTCATTCCCTCTTTCTCATTTTCAATACTGAAACTTATCTGCACCAACATCCTTATGTATTTATTCTCTAAATACATTTTCCTTCCTCTTTGGAAGAATTTTGTGTCAACTTGAAGCTCTTTTTCTCCTAGAACAAATATAAAATGTCATTGGATTATGTAAGTGCAATTACTTAATACAACAGTTAGCACATATGATATTCTTACGATTAAACAGAGACCTAAACAATTTCTCACAGAACCCCAGGCTCACAATACTGCACAAATCCAGATCCCTGTTCAGAAGGATGAGCAAACAGAAAAATCAGCAGATACGAAAAGGAATGGACCAATGAGAAGGGTTGGAAAAAAATGATCTGCAAGAAAATAGGAGGCATTACCAAGAGACAGAAAGGGCCACGTAAACCAGAGACTCCATCAGCCTGAGACCAGAACTAGATGGTATCTGGCTACCACCAGTGACCGCCCTGACAGGGAACACAACAGAGAGTCCCTGACGGAGCAGGAGAAAATTGGGGTACAGAACTCAAATTCTAGTAAAAAGACCAGACTTAGTGGTTTGACTGAGACTGTAGGGACCCCGGAAGACGTGGCCCCCTGACTCTCTGTTAGCCCAAAACGAAAACCATTCCCGAGGCCAACTCTTCAGACAAAGATTACACTGGACTATAAGACATAAAATGATACTTGTGAAAAGTGTGCTTTTTAGCTCAAGTAGATACATGAGTCTAAATGGGCAGCTCCTGTCTGGAGGTGAAATGAGAAGGCAGAGAGGGTCAGGAGCTGGTTGAATGGACACGGGAAATCAGAGGTAGAAAGGAGGAGTGTGCTGTCACAGTATAGGAAGAGCAACTAGGGTCCCATAACAATGTGTGTGTAAATTTTTGTATGAGAAACTAACTTAAATTATAAACTTTCACTTAAAGCACTATTTAAAAAGGAGGCATTATACAAGTCTTTAAACGAGAGATTTTGAAAGACATTGCATCTATGGAGAAAACAAGCAAACATCAGAAAATATTGTTTTTGATGAAAAAGATCACCGCTAGATTTTAAAACAAGACAGTGGAAAACAGATCGGATCTTGAAGAAAATGGAACTGATGCATTCAACATAAGCTAAATAAAATGTTCAGAAACTCAGAGGAAAGAGATAAAGAAATGAATATGATTAGGGTGAAGAGCTGAGACATTGTAGAAAGATCCAGAAGAGCAAGCATGTGGCTGCTAAGAGTTTCAGAAGGAGAAAAAAAGCTAGAGAGAGGCGATCCCATGACCAAAGAAATAATGTTTTAAGACTTCCATGAGCAAAAGAAAGACTCAAAGGGCTCAGTGAGGACGAGGTAAAATCAATCAAGAGATAGACATGAAGTAGCCTTTTCTTTAATGGCTTCTGGGTTTGTAGACATCTTTAGAAAGATCTTTTCCACCCTGAGATTACAAAATAATTCTCCTATGTTCCTTTATGGTTTCCATTTTTACACTTAAATCTTTGATCCTTTTGGTATTTGCCCCAGTGTGAGATATGGATCCAGGGTTTTTCCCCAGATGGCCAGCGAGATGGCCGAACACCTTTTATTGAATAATCTGTCTTTTCCCCATTGATTTGAGTTGTTACTTTCTCTAGAGGCAGAGTGCCTGGTTCAAATCCTGGATCTACTCTTTACTAGCTGTGTGACCTTGGTCAAATAGCTTTCTGTGTCTCAGAGAGCTCATCTGTAAAATGGGGATGATAATAGTGCTTTCCTCATACATACATTGTGATGATTCAGAGAGTTAAAACAGTGCCAGACAAGAATGAGCTGTCAAAAAGTGGTATCTAATATTCTTTATATTTAATTCCTATGTTTTGGCGTCTATTTCTGGACGTTCTATTTTATTCTATTGATCTGCCTTTTCAGGGGATAGTATCACATTGTTTTAATTATTTTGCTTTATAATATATTTTAAAAACTGATAGGGCTAGTCTCCCCCTCATTACTCTCATTTTAAAAAGTTTTGCTGGTGATTCTTATTAATTATCCTGTATGAAATTTATAATGAGTGTGACTATTCACACTCCCACCTCAGAATCCTTTCACGTTTTTATTGGCATCACATTAAATGTACAGATTAACTTGCGGAGAGTGGACACTTCCATTCCTATGTAATATCACAAAGATGTCAACATCATTTATTTTTGCCTTCCTTTGTGTTCCTCAAAAGTTTTCATCGTAAAAAATCTCACATATTTTTAGAGTTTATTTTTTTCTTTTTCTATTCTTTTTGCTGCTATGATAAATGGAATCTTTTTTTCAGCACAGTTTGTAACTATTCCTTTGTGTGATTGAAGGCTCTTAACTTCTGTATTAATTTTATACCCAACCACCTTACCAAATTCTATTCTTTATTATAGTAATTTTTCAGTTGATTACCTTGGGTTTCTATACACATTTGGAAGGTGAAAAATTATGAATTATTTCAATTCTGTAATTGGCAAAGCCTCAACAAATGATATGACCTATAAAATCTCAGAAAGTACATCACCCACACACCCATTCTGAAATTGCTCAAAGTTCTCCAGCTAAGCAAGAAATGACTCAAAGTACTCACAAATAAGAATGGCATGGTACAAAAAATAAGCAAACAAACAAAAAAAAGTGAGCAGCCCCATACAATGAGGCACAGCAGTGCAGGCAGGAGGGGACAAGAAAGCTGGTGATAGGGAACCCAAGATTGAGAAGGGACAGTGTTGACATGTTGTGTGGTTGTTAACCATTGTCATAAGGCAATATGTGTACTAACTGTTCAGTGAGAAACTAATTGTTCTGTAAACCTTCATCTAAGGTACAAAAAAATAAAAGAGAATTATCTGTGTGAGATCAAAT